ATTCCATGACTCTGGTGGAGCAGAGCCCTGAATCCAACTCTCCCATGTGCCAGGATGATGTCCAAAAGACAGAGCTTCAACATGGAGCAAATCTAAACCCTGCTCAAATTCACAGCCCTGGGCTACACAGCACCAATGTGTGGCCACCTCTAGTTTCCTCAGACATTGCAGAAGTAAGGTCTTTGCCTGGGAAACATGGGCACACCACAGCCGACACCAGGGACAGCCACCTTCAACTGCCACCTCCCTGCCACTGCCACCACCACCTGGCACCTGCATTTGAGATGGGCAACAGCTCCTGAGGGGCAGAGCGCAGAGGACAGCAGAGTGGAAAGCCTGGTGCGGCTTTCACAGCACTGCTGTCAGCACACAGCGGTTTCTCTGGCATGGCAGAGGCAGAGGGTTTTTTTTTCTGGGAAGAGAACTCCTGACTCCCCCGACACTGCCCAGCTACAGCACAGCTCTGCCCGTGCCAGGATCCCTCCGCGAAGGGACAGGAGAACTGGTGTGCAGATGTTGTGCAGAAGATGCTGTTGCACCATCCTTTGCTTTGGTTTCGCTTTGCCCCAGCAATTCTCCTTCCCACTTGCTCTAGAGACAAGCCCTCCTCTGTCCCCAGTTTTGCAGACGACTGTTTCCCCACTGCCTCAGACCCTCACCACTTCTGCAGGGCTGGGAGGACGCTGGCCTTCGAGATGGAAGCTCGCCTCTGCAGAGGTGATCAGTTAACGTCACCGCTGTATTGATCTGGCACCGACCGCGGCATGGGAAAGCAGACTAAGCAAGTGGCTTCCCAGCCTGAAAAGGAGATAAACTACAAACACCAAAACTCCTCTGACTTCACTGCAGGGTGCTTAGAGAAAGTAGGATTTTTACTGAGCTGTATTTGTGCGCAAACCTCCTGCGAGAGCAGCAGATCCATGCCTGGATCCCCACCCTAGGGTGCTGAAGAGCAACACTGGCAGCTCCCATTGCCTTTATCAGTTTAATGGTTCGCTAAAACACATTGTTTGCTGCAGAACAAGGCCTTGCTTCTCTGCTCTGAGGCACCTTGTTTTCATCCACGTCTTCCCATACAACCAGCGAGGACAAGGCACTGTTGCTCACCCTACAGCGATGCAGATCCACTGAGTCTTGCTGGGTGCTCTCTCACCAAAGAATCACCAGAAGGTTGGCCAACTCTGCATGGTGGGGCAGAAGACAAAGCTTTAGCCCAGAGAAGACTGATTTTAAGAAGTTGCCATGATGAGACATCCGTGACAGGCTCATAGCCCTGCACCAACCATGCAGCCATTCCATGGGTGCCCTGGACCCAACGTGCATGCCCACAACATGGCCCCTCGCAACGCAGATGATTTGCCTGGCCACCACAGGGTGACTCCCACTGGGAAGATGTCTCCAGCCTGGCTGAGCTCTCACCACACAAGCCCATGGCCAAGACAGGACGGGCAAGGCTGCTTAAAATATAGACATGAACCAAAGAAGCTCAGCAACAGAGTGCTGCAACTGAGCTAGCAAAGCTCAGCATGAGACTGCGCTGAACAGGAAGGCTATTTATTCAATACAAATAAATTTAAAATAAAGCTGGTTTCACTCCCTCCTGGATTCACTCATTTTCTCATGCCCCAAACTCACATGCACCACAAGACGTACGACCAGTGGCACTTATGTGTGCCAGGTCCTACAGGTCCCCCTCAGCTCCTGGGCTCTTTGCTACTGGTGGTCACAGAGGGCTTTGAAAGTTGCCAGCAACACTGATCTTCCACCCCATTGACCTGTCCTGCCTCAGGGTCATTAGGTAGCACAGCTGATTTACAATGACGGAATGATTTCAATTGCACGGGACCTTCAGAGGACCTCTCACTGCCTGTCCTGGAGTAAGCTGCCCAACGGTTTTCCACCCTAAGCCTTCTTAGAAGCTGTATGTATCCATGCTGGCATCTCAATGACCTTTTGGGTTAGGTGCCATCAACCCATGCCAGTCTGGTATCCCTTCTCCTGCCATTCCCTCTGCTGCTTCCACGTGTACACTTCCGTACAATTTATCTAACTCTTTCTTATCTCTCCCTACAGGAGACACATGGGACATGTATGAGCAGCGGTCCCCAGACTCACTGCTTCTGCAGGACAAAGTGAGGGGACAAAGAAGTGCTTGTGCCATTTCCCAAGGCCTTTTCAACATTTCAACAAGACCTCTGTAGCAAGGACCAAGCAAATGAATACAGAGAACAGTCCAGAGAATCACCAACCACGCATGGCAAGTTGGAGACGAGGGGGTCTGTGGGCTGAGCAGGCACCTGGGGTCACCCAAGCATGATCCCCCCACAACAGCCTGACATGTGGTGGTTTGCAGGAGAGAAGTGACTCTTTCAGCCTACACATGAGCCAGTAGCTTTAGAGTCCAGGTAGCTGTAGAGGGGGTAGTGCTAAAGTCAGATCTCATGGCAGGGTACAGCAGCACCCAGGAGCCGGCCATGCCTTAGGCACCCAAGTGTCTGTGGCCTGATCCTGCCATCAGGCCCTGATCACCCTTGTACAGCAGGGACAGGTTCGCCCATCCTCCACATGGGTCAGCTGGAGCATCACCCCGGTGCCCCCAAAGGCAGCAGTACCCCAGCGCAAGAGGAAGGGAGAAGCCAGGTCACACCCCACACTTGAGAAGGTCCCCATGGACACACTTCCCCACCGTGCCCATGGCCTGGGCCGACACCACAATGCCAACACCGAGCAGACACAACACCTCTCTAGAAAGGCCTTGTAGGGAGCTGCTCCATCGAGGGCCATATGCAGATGATGGGGGAAGCTCTCAAACAGTTCATGCAATCAAGCTTCTGACTTTCATTCCGGCAGATGGAGGATCCGAAGCCGAAAAACATCCTGTTCTTTCACAATCACCTCCCCACGAGAATTAACCCACATTTTCAGCCCATTACTGAGTAGTATGGCCAAATTATACCATCTCTAACCAAAACACTTGTTTGCTTTGTACGCTTTTTCTGAAGACGAGTAAGCTCCTCTGTCTGGTGCCATTCCATCAAGCTAAACTAGCTCAGCTTTTACAGCTCACGTCATAGCTGACAATGGATGGACTCAATTAAAAAACGCCATAGTCACACAACACAAGATGCCAACCCAGCACAAATTCACTCTTTTGGATCCACTTTCCTCTAAAGCCTGGAGTTAAGGACATGTTTGTGGGTGCAGTGCCGGGTGCCACCTACCCTCTTGTGCGTGGTGCAAGCAGAGTACGGCAGGTCCGGTCAGCATGAAGTCTTGCATACGTGCTGGGGCCAAGGTGCCACCATGTGCCTATGCCTGATCCAGATAAATCTGCACTGCTGGCTGATCCACAGAGGCCACTAGAGCCACGGCCGTGGTCTCTCCTGCCTCCATCCCGACATGCTCTGCAATCCCGGCATGTCCAAGACAATTGCATAGCTCTGACTTCAGAAAATCAGTAAAAGCACGTCCTATTTTCACAAAGTACATACTATTTAGGAATTCAGGCCCTAGTTTCAAAAGCAGCTGGAGACCATGGGTAACCTCATCTTATCAGACCTCAGGTCATCAGCAGTCAAATACTTCTGAGCTGACCCGAGACCTGTGAAGTTTCCGCAGCCTGTATGAGGGGTGTATGACGCTCAGTCATCTCCCCTGTCGCCAGCTCCCCCTCAGCGTCCTTTCCCTCAGCGCTCCCCGGGCACTTTGCACTGCCTTCCTGTGTCGTGCCTGCCTGCCGCTTCCCCAAGGAAATTTTCTTTTGGCACTTTCTGCCAAGTTGTTGGCCTTGCCACGACCCCATGGACTGCGCTGTCTGCTGGTCTTCCCAAAGTCTTCTCACTAGCACAGACATCAGAGAGACAGTGATGACCTGTCCTCACCTTCCAGCTGCCTCAGGCCGGGACCCGAGTAGGGCCCAGCAGGGATGTCTGCAGCAATCAGACTTTGCCACTGCAAGCAGCTGCTCCTGAGAGAGAAAAGCCTCTCTACAAGACACTCCAACACTTCTTTCATCAAATATTTCTAAGCTATTTCTTGACTTTGGGCAGGTGGGAGGGGAGTTACTCAGAACTGTAGGATAATTCAGCTGGAAGGCACTTGAGGAGGTCATCTAGCCCAACCTCCAGCTCAAAGCAGGGTCGGTGACTTCCAGTTTCTACTGCATGCTATTGGACCCATGGACAAGCCCCATGTCCCTCAACCCCTATCTGCTGTAGAGCCAACATGCTCCACCTCGCCTTGGCTGCAGACAGAAGCGCGAGCAGCACAACCGTTCAACACAACTGAGCATAACGCAGCCTCGGGACCACCCCAGGCAGTTTCACAGGAACAAGAAGAAGAGTTGTGTCAGCCCTTCAAAAGTCTAAGGTTTCCTGGACTGCGAAGCCACATTGATGAGGGGCAACCACAGCCCCAACAGGGAAGAACATTTCCAGCAGGCTGCAGGCCTGCACAGTACTCTCTGAAAGACCACCCGCCTTCTTAGATTAAGTGAAATTTTAGGTGTTACCCAGCTGCATCGGTAAGCCTTGGTCTCATTCATGAGCTTGCTTCAAGCATCTTTCCAGGCACTGCAGAAACACACAGAAACCTCAGGTTTCTGAACACACTGCAGGCAAACGTTCTCCCCCCAAAGCCGGCACTTCAAAGGGTATTTTTGCTCCAGTTAAAATCACCGTTAGGAAGACGCTTAACATGGATGTGTAGAAACCCACCTGCCTGTTCGTCCACGCAGACGCCCAGACTTGCAGACAAGGACGGAGCCGACACACACTGCCCTCCCCTCCACAGCTCCCTCTGTATGTACTTAATGTCACGGGTCTTTCAGGCTGGCTTTTTTGCTGCTCTATTTGGAAAAGGGCTGCGTTACTTTGCCCACCAGCACCTGACTGCCCTAAAGCCAAGCACAGCCCTCCTCTCCCATCACCTCCTGGGATCCCTCAACTGCCTCCAGCCGCTTCCCGACCTCCCCTTCCTGCTGCCACAGGGCAGAGACTTACCTGAGTTTTCCTTATCCGCAGGTCAGCAGATGACCTGTTCAATCCTTCCTCTTGTTCAATACTCTGCTCGATACCTGGTGGGGGTAGAAGGACATGGATTATTTCATGCTGTTTAGAGAAGGAAAAGCGATTGTTTGGCAAAGGGACTGTAAAAAACTGAAGCCTGCGAATCAAGGAGCATCTGGCACGGAGCAGTCTCCAGCTCCTGATTCCAGCACACGATTTAGCCTGGACTGGAAACAAAGCCCCATTTCATTACTTCAAAGCACTTAGTGCCTGGCCACCGGCCGAGACTTGGTGCTGTTGAAGGCAGCACCCGTCACCCCCAGGCTGGTAAGCGAGGATTTCAATATAAAAATTGATGTAACGCTTGGGTCTGATCTCTGTACTTTCCGGTATTCAAACAAAATGGAGTGCCATTCTCCCCCTGCTAGGCAGGAGGAGGAAACCCAGAGCTAAAATGTCTCTGCAAAATGCCGAAGCTCAAGACTTCTCCAGGGGCCCTAAAAATAGTAGGGCTGCCAGCTGCCCGACCTCGCACAGGGAGGACCCACCAGGCTGGCGAGAGTGTGCTTCATCTTGCGGAGCAGCCCTCTGCAGCAAAGCAGAGATTTGCCCTTTTTATTATGCTTGGTGGTGCAATGAAGTGAGGTGAATTCCTCACTTGCTCAAAGACCATAAATCACAGCAGGGAGGAGTGCTGCCCTGCTCAGCATCCCCCCGTGGTTTGGGCAGGGAGAGGGCACAGGGTTGCAGGGCAGGAGGTCTGGCACAGAGCAAGGCAGTACAAATCTGCTCCTCAAGGCCAGCTCAGGACATGCTAATTCAAAAACTTAAATTCAGGGACTTAAAAAGCCTGCAAGAAAGCTCCCATCAGCAGGCTGGCCCACCGTGCAGAGATACACATCTCCATGTAGACCACCAGGTGTGAGCTGGTGGCATCCCTTGAATTTGGCTGAAGACCCCATTCCCAATGCACATGTCCCACAGCTTTCTGAGCCCGGCTGTTCCCAACACCGTCTACCCTGGAGCAGGTCCCACAAGCCCAGCATGGAGCAGGTTCCTCTTGCAACAGGAGCTCCCCGTTCCCTGGAGCTGCCCAGTGGTTCCCCATCACCATCCAGCACAGCGGAGCAGAGCACAGGACACCCCCACCACCGTGGGCATCCCCATTTCTGCTGCGTGCTGGTTAGCACAGGTGACCCCACAGTACCACCTTGCAGAGAGCAGCACCGCTGTAAGGAAGATTGTGAGCCTGGAGAAGCCTTCACAATGCTGGCAGAGGGTGTCCAACAGCGCAGCACGCTCCGGGCAAGTGCTGGAGAACATCAGCACAAATTCTGCACTCCCCCCAGTTCTCTCCTGGAACAAGCGTCTGCACCTAGAGCTTATCTGAAAGGTCTCGTCCCACACAGCCAGACGGTCACGGCACTTCTCCTGTGCACCCCCCCGCCTGCGAGCACACTGACTGCTGCCTGCCCAGCATATTTCATCAGCAATTGGTCTTCCTCCACACTTGTCATAAACCATTCCCCATTCCCAAGGAACAGTATTGGCAAACATTGTGCATTTACAATAATTAATATAAGTCACATTTTCCCAAGAAGCTGGTAATTAGAATTAGACACTGCATGAGCAATGTCTGTCCTAAAGAAGTCAATTTGTTATCAGCAGATGGTGTTTTGAATCAGGCCTGACTGTTTTCTTTCATTGATCATGCTGGCCATGAGGTGATGTGGGACAAAGCACAAGGACTAATCACCTGTTGCTCCAGGTAAATACGATACCAGTGAGTCTTTTCTGGAAGAAGGAATCTGAAATTGGAGCCTGTCCTGCAATCCTTCAGGCTCTCAAAGCCCCTTAAAAAACATGGAACAAAACACCTATGGAAAAGGATTTTTGTTTCGCACAGGCTAAACCCTGTTCCCACCTGGACACCAGGGATCCCAGTAAGGCCAGGGGGGCTCTGGCCCATCGGAAGGAATCCCCTGGTCTATGAAACGGGTAAGTTGGCCCCTAGTTTTCCTCCTGGGTCTAGCTGAGATCACATGTCAGGAGTACAGAGAGCAGCAAGGGGACAACAGAGGTACAAGTCTCCTTCTGGCATACACATGGGCCATGGTCACACCAGTGGTGATGAACCTAACAGCTCCAGCCATATCTAAGTCCTCCACGACTGCGGGGCTCCCACGAAACCCTGGGATTAGGGAGAACGCTGCTGCCATGGGGGAAGTGCCAGCTCTTCTGCCGCCCTTCAGACAAGGCCAGGTGTCCTGCAACAACCTCAACCAAATCCTACGCTGATACCCAAGACCACTGCAGGAAAATCTGAGCCGTGCCGAGGTAATCTGCCTCTTGCCTCAAGATGCTGCTGTCCTCACTGACCCACTGAATCCTCTGAGGTCCAATCTTGGGCTTTTGGGCTTGTCCAAGTGCTCCAGCACAACCCCAGCCATCAACGGCCTGACAGTTGTGTTGTTCTCACTCCCCGCTTGTCCAAGAGATTGATTGACTCTTCGGACGGCAGAAAGTAATGGTCACATTTGCCGCGCATTGCCTAAGGTGAACGCACACCAAGACCATGGAGCGTGCTGATGAGACAGGATAACCTTCCCCAATCCCAATGGCCCCTTTCTTTCCCATCACCTGCCCCACAGAGCCCATGTATGGGGGCAGTGGTGCCTCCTGCCCGTCCTGGCTACGCTGCTAGTGTGGCTGGGATGGGCAGGAGGCATGGCTGCCTTGGCCAGAGCCACTAGCAATGCAGCTTGCACTGGGGATGGGAAAGCAAGACCAGGCTGGCAGGAGCAGGACACAGGCGGTGAGAAGCACAAGAACTGTGCCAGCACACTGCCAGAGAGCCGGCAGCACCGCCTGGCCCGGCTGGAGCCACACAGGGAAGAGGAACCATGGGTATCCGGATGGGACCCCTCGGTGCTGCACCTGCCTAGGCTGCCTGTGACAACCTGGCTCACCTGGGAAGACCCAGCTCTTCTTGAAGGCTGGCAAGTCCCACAACAGCACCCTTTCAACAACTCAGCCCTGGCAACCCAAACCTTTGGCCATGCTGCGGGTTTGTTCAGAGCCAGGGCTCACTAGGAGAGCCCAACACCTGCAAGTTGGCGCTTGAGGGGCACAGGACTCGCTCACAGCCCATCAGGTGCTCGTGGCCTCGTTCCCTCACCTCCATCGTGGGAACAGGGCACAAGGGGGCAAATTAACAAAGGGCAAATAAAAGCAGCTAGAGGATGTTAGGGGGAGGGAAGGTGACGCCCATCCCCGTGTGATCCCTGCAAAGCAATGGCAGATGCCACTCCTGGCTGTCCCTTTCCCCTGCTCCACGACCCCTCCCAGCACCAGCTCAGGTGGCCAGAGGATGCACAGACGGGGTTGGGCTGTGCGTCTGTAACCGGCCCTCTCCTATCTAAAGCAAACCACCCTAAACCTGTCTTGACATGAGTCAAACACCAGCTGCTGCTGGCACAGGATTGAGATGACAGCCAAGGTCTCACAGCATTTCAGGTCATGGGGGATGAGTGGGAATTGCTGAGCGGTGAGGGCATGGAGCAAGACCCAGGGCAGCAATGCTCCCTGCCTGCTGCATCCCCAGCCCAGGATGGGGGATGCCTGGGGCTGCAGGGCAGGAACGCAGCAGGCAGAGCCCCACAGCAGCACCGCTGGCTCATACTCACTCTTTAGCTTGGAGCGCACTTTATTTGCCGTCTTCTTTATGTCAGACATCAACTCTTCCAGCTCCTCCTTCGTTTCTGGGGAGAAAGAAAAGAAAAGACACGGATGTGTCGGAGACACTGTTAAAATCTGCTGCCTGGTCCCATAGCATGTGGAGACCAGAGTTGTGAGCATTCCCACCTCCAGACTGGGAGCACTTCCACCCCACGCACCCCGCTGGACTCTCTTCATAGTCCTGAGCCTGGAAATAACCCTGTTGCCGCCGGGCAAGCAGGGAGCCAGGCAGCCGTTCGGCAGGACCACCTGCCTACGCAGCCCTAACCAGCCCCATGCCCAGCGCTCTGCCGAAAGTGGAAGGGAAAGGATACACAACCCACAGTGCTGGCTCCTGGAGTGGAAAGAAAACCACTGCTGGACACCAAAAACCTTCTGCTCCCCAAGGGCTGATCTTCCCAGGCCCCTGCCACACCAGCCAGCCCTCCTCAGGGCATTACGGAAGGTCGTGTCTTCCACCAGCACCCCCGGACTAACAGCCAGTCCGTGTGTGTTCGCTCCCCAGCCTGAATTTGCTGCTTTTGGCAGAAACGCAGGGGCTGAAGCACCAGAACCCCCTGCCAAGTCCCACGGCCCACATCTCGGGAATGACTGAGCAGTGGCAGGAGGGTGTAAAGCAATTCTCATATTTCAACGGGCAAGGGCACAGGAGTCACAAATAAAACCAAGTAAGGGCAAGTCCCATCCGCCCTGTCCCCATGGGCAGGCCACGCGTGTCTGTGCGACCTGCATGCGGCTCCCACCGGGAGAAGAGCCCTGCCGAGCATGGAGCCCATCGGTGAGTCTCAGCGTCTCCCCAGGGCCACCTCTCCAAGACTTCGAGGGCTTTTACAAGAGTCTCCTGGGCTGCCAGGACTATTGACTCAGCTAGAGCGAGGAGGAAACTACAACATAGGACACACTTGAGAGAAGTAAATCAGCTGGGGAAGTTGCGAGCCCTGCCTGACCGATGGGATCTGGCACAGGGCTAGCTGCCCTCACTCCCATGTGCAAACGGCAGGAATCGGCTTTGAGCTCACCACCACTGAGAGCACAACCATTGCAACATCTCCGGGAACTCGTGCCTTGTAGGACTTTTCTCTGCATTGCAGCACCATCTCCAAGCCACAAGCTGTGCTCAGCAAACCCAGATCAGAGTGAAGATCCTTGATCAGCCCTGCAGAGAAGGACTGGGGGATACTGGTGGGTGACAGATGGGACATAACCCGGCCATGTGCGCTGGCAGCCCAGAAAGCCAAGCGTCTCCTGGGCTGCATCACCAGCAGCGTGGCCAGCAGGTCGAGGGCAGGGACGCTCCCCCCCTGCTCCGCTCTGC